AAGAAGCAAATCCTGAGAGGTGCTGAGCACTTGCATTGCCCTCTGGCTTGGCCCAGGACTTCTAGGCAAGGTCAAGCAATGCAGGGTGCTGATTGGCTGGGGGCGAGCAATGGTTTATCCTCGACAGGCAGCGTGGGGGCGGGGAGGGAGAGGGAAGGGACTGGGCGCTGAAGGACCTGGCTGCGTGGAAAGTCACTGGGGTCCTCATGACTGAAACAGCAACTTCAGCCCATCTCTTTGCTGTTGCTTTGTGCAGTGCATTAGCCTGGGCACCGCTCCGTTCAGCGCATCTACTGTTCTTTCAGTCTCTTTGTGTGTGTTTTTGGCCAGGGTTTCTAATGATGAAATGGCCCCAGAGCTCAGATTTCCAGCCTCTTGCCTCATCCTTTCCTATCTGGCTTCAAATCACTAGCAAAGGCAGCTTTCTCCCTCTCACGCACGCACACAGGTTAAAACCCTGGGCTGTGTTAGCTGAGGGCATATGCCTCAGCCCATAATGCACACTACTCCCGGCACACACACACACACACTCAAACACACACACAAATGCATGCACAACTACACAATTACCCTGTAACACACTCTCCACACACATTCTCACCAAAACATGCCCAAACATGCCCAGTCTAGCACACACACAAATGTACACACAACTGCACGCTCATTCTGTAAAACAAATTTCACACCACACTAACATAACCACACACAAATATGCATGTTTTAAACAACACACTCTGACACACAGTCTTACACATTAAACACAAATGCACACGTCAACACTCACCCTGACTCACTCACACTAAAACACGCCACTATTAATTGTTGTGATTGGCACGAATCACACAATAGACAATACAACACAATACCCCCACTCCTTTAACCCTTGTAATATCTGGCCCTGCTGAGCAGGACAGAAGGGAGAGGAAGGAATGGAGATGGCAGGTTTTGTCTGGGGTGGGTGGGAAGGGGGGAAGCTTCCCAGCTTCTCAGCCTTGGAACCCAGAACCTATTTTGCAATCTGTGGTTAAAAAATACAAAGCTTAATCATCTCCAGACAACACTCCTGACAAGCAAAGAGGGAAATGCAGCGCTGTCCAGGAGCAGCTCAGAGCTGCAGCCTGTCTAGACACAGCCTTCCCCTGAATGCCTGCTGATAATGCCTTGGGAAAGCTTTGGCAGAGGTGCGTCACGCATGAGTGTGTGCTGGAAATGAACTCCTCACCTAGCAGCACGAAACTACAAAGGCATTAAAGCCTCCTCTCTCTAACTAGGCAGTTCTAGGGCTTATGACTGGGTAAATCATTCGTAACTCTACAGCTGGTCTCTGCGAGAGCAGAATCGGGCCCCTGAATGCTACTAGTATGGTGAGTTGGAAGGGTGGGAGTCCGGGGGGACTAAGTCCCTGTAATACTGACATCTGGTCATATGCCTGCTGGTGACCTGGTCAGTTGCTGCTGGAAGTGTAGCAAAGGGATTGAATTCCTCCCTTTAGCCAGAAGATGTAACTTTCTTTTCCAAGCAACTCCAGCTTGTGCTGCAACATGCAGAGAAGGGATCATTAGTCCTTTAAAAGAGGCAGGGTTCATGTGAGGGTCCCCCACAAGAGCCATTACTGGGCAATCTGCTTTAAGGGGTTCTCTGAGTGTAAACCATTGTATGTCAAGCCTGTCCACATGCCCCAAGCGCGACCCTTCCTGGGGTCAGATTAAGGTGCAAGAGGATGGTTTCCCCATCTCCTCCTCCGTCAGACCAAGGACAGGGAGCCACGACCTTCGACCTTCGGAGTCCAAGCCCAGCTCCAGTATTAACATACTGTACAAGTCAGGGTTGCACTCTGTGCCTAGTTTCCCCATCTGGATACTGGGGATAACGAAACTGGCGGTGGGAGGGGGAGGGGGTTTGAGAGGGGCTAGTGGGAAGTAGATAGAGCTGTGGTTACAATTTTTTTGAAAGAACAGTTTTCCATAGGAAAAGAAAGGTTTCATCAAAACTGAAAAGGTTCACCGGAATGTCTCAATTTTGATTAATTTTTTCCTGGGCAACAGTCTAAACAAATAATTTCAGCTTTCTCATTTCATTTTGATAAGGTAAAAATATTTCCTTCTGACTTTATCATTTCAATTTATTTTGTTTTGCCTTTTAATATTAAATACAACATATGAATATACTGTTACACTCTATAGTGTCATATAATATAAAAGTAGAAATAAAATGAATTGAAATGATGAGGTCAAAAGGAAGCATTTTCCCAAACTGAAATGACACAAGTGCATTGAATCAAAACAATTTGACATTATTGAAGTGAAACGATTCGACGGTCCCAAATTGAAATTCTGCAGAATTTTCATTGTCTGGGAAGTTTCAAAGTAACAGCTTTGTGCTCCAGTTTGGAACAATCTCCTCTCCCCTTCCCCCCAATGTTGGAATTTCCCAAGGAGTGAACAGCTGCAGTGGGAAGCACTGGGGTGGGGTGAGGGTGTGTGTGTCTTGCCAGCCCTTCCCTCCTGTTATTGATTTGGTTACATGGGCCAACCTTTGGCCTGAGATATTGCAATCCTCAATAGGTACCAGTGTTTTTACTTTGGTGCACAGATGTGGGGACGTGGGGGGGGAAGCAGGGGGGTTCTGTTGCCACGGACAGCTCTGAACTGCCCCTGCTGCCTGAGCACGGTACTCATCCTTCCCACAGACCTGGGGCTGAACTGTCCATCAGTCTATCCCCTAAGTTGCACAGCTGGCAGCAGGGGAGAGTGACTGGGTATCTCTGGGAGAGAAGAATCCCTTAGATGCAAGCAACCCTCTTAGCAAAGAGCCCTGCTATGACCAGAGATCTGAGCAGCCCTGGGGTTACTCAAGTGCCTGGGGAAGGTCTGGGCTTGGGAGACACTCTGTTCTTTGTGTGCTGGGTGTCAGGGAGAGGGGATGGTAAGGCAGAGATTTAACGGGGGCGTGCCAGTCGTGACCTTATGGAAATGTCAGCCCTAGCAGGGCAATCAGCTGAGCTCTCCTGTTGCAGACCTTTCTGGAGCAGCCGGTGCAGACTTGCCTGCTGGATCTTTGACTAGATCAGAACAAGGAGACATTTTGGGAGCCAGGAGATGGCACCAGCCTAGCAAGCCCCCCAGCAGCCTCCTGAAAGTGCCTTGTGACCCTCCCACCCTGTCACTGAGCTCACCTGCCAACTCCTAAAGGCAGACAGACAGGCAGAGAGGCACAAAGCCCGGTGGCAAGACACGGATCTCACACCCGTGTCGATGCGCCGCAGCTCCACTGAAGTCAGTGGGATTACTCTGGATTTACACAGGAACCAGGCTGCTCCGGCAGCTGCGGCTGGGGGCAGGCTAAGAAGGCTGGACTCTGATCCCTCGAGGATCTAATAGTTTTCTGTCTAGCCCTCAGGCCCATACAGTGATTTGCTTTCAGGCAGCTGCCTCCCCATTGTGTTCTCTAGGAGTTCACTGCAGCCTAAGTAGGGGGTGCTAAGTGGCTCGGTCACAGGTCCCCTCTTCTCCCACACGCTCTAACCATGCTGAACAGCAGCTGGAGAGAGCAGCAACCTTTTGCCAGGGCCACCAAGCAGGGAGCTGCGGAAACTCCTGATTGGGAGGAAGCCAGCGCTGCTCGCTGGAGGAAAAGCAAGCCAAGCCAGCAGCAGCGGGTCCCGTCAGCCTGTGAGCCAGGATCCTGTCAGTCACTGATCCACAAAGAGTTCCTGGGCAAGGAGAGGTGCCTCCCTAAACATCTTCAGAACAGCCCCTCCCCCTTCCTCCAGAGCACTTGCTTTGCCTGCTGCAGGTCTCCGGGGAAAATGGCAGCAACATCTCTGGCCAGATCAGTTGTAACCCAATGCAGCTCACATGGTCTATTGGCATCTTCCATTTGGGGAGCGCAGGGAGCCAGCCTTGGCTGGGATGTCAACTTACTTATTTTCCCCCCCGGAAATATATGTGGAGCAAAATGCAGCCCAGTGTGACTCGCTGTGCCTTGGGGCAAACTATTGGCCCTGGCCGCTGAGAGCTGCCCTGCAGGGCATTGGCCAGCAGCCCTGGGGGTCAGGAGCACCCTGCTCCCCACTCTCACAGGGAGCCAGCTGGGCTGGCCACTCAGCCTTTGGAACTGCAGCTCAGGGCAGTGGGTTCATTCACTGCAGGTTCAAACAGTCTTGGGGGCTGCTTGGAAACCCTCCCCCGATCCCAGGGCTGCAGATGCTCAGAGACACGACTCAAGCAATTTCCCCAACTCACCAGAATCTCTCTAGTGTAACCATCAGGCCTAACACCCCCCTGAAAATTGTTATCCCAGACCCCTACCTCCTCGCGGCACTCTGCATAGCTGCGCGTGGACACCGCTGACTCCAAAACTACAGCTCCCCCCTGCAGAATAGGGGAGAGCAGGATGCAGAGCTCTACCTCCCTACACTGGGGAGAGGGGCTGTCCTGCCCCACTTGGGCAGGCAGCCCCTATACTGTGTTCCACTGAAACAGACACCATCTGAAGGCTGGTCGCTACACAGCAATCCCCACCACCCCCAGCCCACATGCCTTGAGCCTTTGGGTGTGATCTGAGTGGGGAGAGACATAGGCTGAGGCCCCATTATTTGCTAGAAGGGGGACCCTGGTAGACCCATTCTTGTTTCCCCCCTGCCATTCCCCTTCCTCCTGTCCATCTGCTTTGCGCTCTCCTTCCTACCCAACCTGGGAGAAACTAAGCTGTTGCACAAACAGAGACTGAAATTTCAGCACAGAATAAAGCAAGCGTAGCAAAGCTGGGCGATCGGGTACATTTACAAGGGGAAGCCGGTGTCTGGTACAGATTGGTATTCCCATTAGCAGAGAATTTCAGCATGGGGACCATTACAGCTATGGATTTCCTATCGCTAGCTCTCTCTCTACCCAGAGCTACGTACATATGATAGATAGACATACAAAGAAATGCAGCTGTGCCAAAATGAATCTCACACACACTCAGCTCTGCTTCTCTCGGTCTCGGCGTGTACGTACCTATGTTGCACGGTGATCCGAAGGACTCACTCACACCTGCTGTGCACTAGGCCCCAGCCGGGGAAGAAGGGGGGGCCTCACCTCCACTCTTCAAAATATAACGTGCTACTGGGATCCGGTGCTGCCAGCCTGGGTTTTTTAAGCAGCTGGCATGGGGGTCTTCGGCGAAAACTCCTTCCACGCTGCTCAGAATCTGGAAAACCTTTTTCTTTTACCTTATATGAGCTGAAAAAGGAGGCCAGGCTGCAGACGGCCACATCTGTCAGGGGCGTCGAGGGGAGCCATTGGCTGCGGCCTGATCACGTGGGCCTGCTGCCTTGACCTGCGACAGTTCAGCTGAGTGTTGGTTTTACCCCCTAAGGAAGGAGCATTTGACAATTTTCATATTTCTTCTAAATTTGGAGATTTCAGACAATGCTGGGAGGCTTGGCTCAGGATGCCAGAGGCCCATGTGGAAGTCATTAAGTCTGAGAGGGAGAGCGAGAGAAGGAGGGGAGGTGGGGAAAGAGGGGGAGGAGAGGGAGAGAGGCCTGTGGCAGTTGCCAGCTACATGCCTGGGAACATAAGTGAACTCACTCAGAGAAAGTTGTTTGTAATAACTGACTTCCTCTCCGGCCTCCTGCCCCATATGGGAAAGCAGAGGAGCCCTGAGAACTGTGCGCGGAAGGAATAACTCCTGCCTCAATGGCAACAGGACCCCCTGCTGCTCCAGGAGGGAGAGGAACGCACTGGGGAGCTAAGGGGAAATACTCAACTTCAGATGCAGCCCCTGCCCGTTCCTCATGGCTGGCTGCATCCCCGATTGCAGGGCAGTGCGGGGAGTGGAGATTCTCCCCGGCCTGGCTTAGTGTGTCTTGTGATTCCCATTACTTTGAAAAGCTCCACCTGGTCAAGCTTGAAAAGGGCATTTAGGCATGTGAGCATCTGAGCATGTGAGTGACAGAGCCTGACCTGTGCTGAGTGCGTGTGTGCGTGCTCGGGGGGACCTACCAGTCTGACAGAAGCTGAGTTGTTCTTCTCTGGAGCAATAGTGGCTTTCTGCCCAGCAGAGGCCCCCGTTGACCCTCCTCAGCCTGTCACCCCTCAGGGAGGTGTAGGACCTTGAGTGCAATGCCATCAGTAATGGGCTGGACACCTCACCCTGCCACTTCAATGCAGACTGCACCACCAACCACTAAGGCAAGTGTTCCTCACGAGGGCCCCATAGTTGCGGGTCAGACCCAAGAGGCTTGGCTCTGGGCTTGCAATCCTGGATGTTCAAGGTGAACTATTTTGAGGGTAACCAACGCCCCAGAGCTGGGGAGACAGGACTGCTGTCTTGAGGGTACAGGGTGGAAAGGGGGTTCTCTTTTGCTTTTGGTGGCCTTCCCTTCAATCTTATCTGCCTGGCCCCACAGATACAGTCCTATGTGTCTTTTTCAGGGGATCTTTGAGGAGCCAGTACTCTAGCCCCCAACTCCCACATTTGCAAAGAGCACCCTAGAGTCTGAGCATGCCCAGATGTGGAATGCAAGCCCATGTATGGCATGTACCATTCCCAGAGAATGATTTAATTCGCAACTGCTTGGCAACTCCTGAAAAACACTCAGGTTAGACACACCCCCATTTCTCTGGTCCCTGCATTTCTGTCCCTCTGGTTCTCTATCACGAGAAACGTTTGCAGGAATCCAAAGTCATTGTCCCTTGTGGGGGGGCGGGAGGGGTTCATCTGCTTTTGATGCAAATCCCCCCAACCCAAATTCCTCAAGGCTATAATCCTGTCTGCAGTGTCACAGTCATCTCCACAGCAATTAACTGTGATGGAGGATCATAAGGCCAAATGAGGAATAAGCAGGTGGATCAGAAGGAGGACTCCAGATAGTAAACTGGCCTTTCGACAGAGCTCATGCAGTGCAAGGCCAGGTTCATTAGCCCATTTCATACACATGGACACTGAGACACAGGCAGTGGAAGTGCCTTGGCCTGGAGCCAGGAACAGAGCCCAAGTCACCTGAATCCCTCTCTAAACAGTAGACCATGCTGCCTTTCCTAAGGGTTCAGAGATCTCACTTTGAAGTATAGATCCTTGGCAATAGACAATAACAACAAATGGGGAGCTGAGAACCAGAAGTTATCTAACAGCAGACCCGGCTGCTTCTGCCCCATGTTTTTCCAGGAGGTATCAGTACCTATTAAAAGCAAAGGTCTGATCTTCAGGGCTCCGAGCAGCCCCAGGTGCCCCTCAGGGTCAGCCCATGAGTGACCAGCAGTGTGTGGGCAGAGTTACAAATGCTGCAGAGATTCTACGCGCAGAGGAAGCTACTGACATGCCTGAGAACGTCTATGCACTGCACACAGCAGGAGATAACCCATCACACTGTGTGCAATGGTCTTGATCAGCTAGGATCCATCCAGGGTTATAGTCCAACTAGGGAGACCCTCTCTGTTCCCCCTTGCGGCCCTCTCCTACTTTGCTATCACTACAAACTGCTGCTCCAGGGCTATTTCTCATAAGGGAATGTGAGGCATTAGGAAAGGGTCCTAGCTGGTGTTGCATTTTCCTTGGCAGTTTGGATACACTCCTCTAAGTAAGGCAACAGGCTATAAACAAGTGCCTGATGGCATGGGGAAGGAGAACATATAAAGAAAACAATGAAGGGGATTATTCACACCGTCTCCAGTTCCCTCAGGACCCAGGAGTCCTGTGCAATGCAAGGGACAGATGGAAAGGCAGACCCTGGAAACAAGGCTGGATTCTCCTCCCATCCTACTGTGAAATACAGAGCTTCCCACTACTAGCGTGCCAGTGTTCGAACTCCATCTCAGGGTACCAGACCTGATTTGCCACCTCACTCTCCGGAATCATTACCAGCTCCTGGAATTGATCCTAATGCTACACCCATCTCCTGGGACATTCAAGGAATGAGGTCCCTGTCCTGACGTTGGTTGCAGGGTTTGATTCAATCCATACACACTGCACACAGCATCGCAAACTGTACGGTTTCAGTGCAATGGGCAGTCGTTCCCTTCTGATTCCTCCTTGCTCCTCAAACCAGAACCAGGATTTAAAAAGGTAAAAGCATGGCAATCCCTACAGAGCTTTGCCCATCACAATCCATCACCACACAAATACAGAGACCATGGCCGCCAATCAACCTCATATGTACCATCACACACAAATAGAGACCAGGGCTTCCAGTGAGTCAACCACATATGTACAATATATGGAATATATTTAGGGTCAGATTTTCAAGCAATTTTGGCATACAAACAATATGTGTCTAGTTATCACAACTGCATGTGCAAATCAGGCAACTGGGCATGCAAATGACCTGACTACATTAAGCAATCATGTACTTAGTTATTTCAAAGTCTGACCTGTGAGATCTATAAAACAAGCCAAATTCTCCCTTGGTGGTTCTCCCTTCAGCCACTGTTGAATCTTCTGTGTGCAAAATATGGATCAGAATACACAGGAAAGAATGGTCAACGAGTCTGGAAACATTCACCACTGGGCTGAGATAAGCCAGGGAAAAAAACAGTGGAAAAAAGATTATGAAAAAGGAGAGTGGGAGAACTGAGCCTTTTGCTACAGCACGTGCTACCAGCTGAGCTTGCTATACTTCACACTGCAGAGGTAGCACGGTTTGCAAACTCTGGACCTTCATCTCAATAAACACAGGCCTCTAGCTGGTAAGAGTAAGGGGCAACTCCACTATCTGAGTGGGGGAATGGGGGAGGAACAGCTAAGTGAGGAGGTGTCATTCACTAGCAGACAGCAATGGTGCACATAAACCAAGAAACATCAGAGGGCCAAACTGGTATCAGTAGAGTGACACCTGGGATGGACTTGGCCCACAATGCCCAAAATACTTTTGGAAGTTGCCCTGAGAGTCTGAGGTTTGGATTGCACTTGTCATATTCCCCTGCCGACAGCACTTCACAAAGCAATGTGCATGATGCGAGGGTGGCGTGTCCAAACAGGGAAGTGGACCAACCACCTTGTGCTCCACACTAATTCCTGCTCATGGTGGGACACTAGCAGCTGAGCTGTTGCTGTGGAGGGAGGAAAGTTTGCCAGTGGCTTTAGACATGGGGAAAGTGTCATGAGATCTTCTACTCAACTGGCCAGTCACTAGAGATGTGCAGGCAAGAGGCTGATTGACTAGCTCACCTGAAGGTCAGTGGCTCTGGCCCTGCAGCATCCCAGCAATGAGCATGATTGAGTCTGGAGTATGAACAGAACCTTCCCCGTTCTGCCTTTAAGGAGAGACCACCACCCACCGAGGCATTTAGTTTGAATCCTGAAATATGAAGCCCATCTAGTGAGGCTGCCGCAGACAGGCAGAGCTAATGGGCACTCCCCTCCCTCCCCTGGGGAGCCACAGCTGACTCTCTATCCATCCACGGGTGGCCTAAGTCCCTGTAGCAAGATAGCCATCACATCTGCCACTGCCATAGGAGCAATTAGCTCCTATCAGCTCTTGCTTTGTCATTCCCATCACCCGAGCCCCCCGTCTCCCACCACATAGACACATCTTTTCCCTCCCCAGTGTGAAGAGCTGAGCCCATATGAAATTGGAGGACTTGTGGCACCTTAGAGACTCACAAATTTATTAGAGCATAAGCTTTTGTGGGCTACAGCCCACTTCATCGGATGCATAGAATGGAATACATAGTAGGAATATATATATATATACACATAGAGAGAAGGTGGAAGTTGACATTCAAACTGTAAGAGGCTAATTAATTAAGATGAGCTATTATCAGCAGGAGAAAAAAAACTTTTGTCGTGATAATCAAGATGGCCCATTTAGACAGTTGACAAGAAGGTGTGAGGATACTTAGCTTAGGGAAATAGATTCAATATGTGTAATGACCCAGCCACTCCCAGTCTCTATTCAAACCCAAGTTAATGGTATCTAGTTTGCATATTAATTCACGCTCAGCAGTTTCTCGCTGGAGTCTGTTTTTATGAAATTGAAACTGGGTTGGAAAAGGATTTGCAGTCCTGCTTGCTTCTGCTGGCCTGGATCACAGGCCGTGCCCTGCCTCAGGTGCTCATTGCCTGCACTACCAGGCAGCAGGCACTGTGCTGGACCCATTAAAGTGCATTGACAGCCCATTTCCAGGCAAAGTCATACTGC